CTCCTCACAGCACTCCTCGTCTGTGGAGCCGCGACGCTCCTCCGGCTTCACCTGAAAGTCGGTTTGGAATTCGGGATCCCTTGTTTGCGAGTCTTTATGCTGAGGATCCTACGGTCAGCATGGAAAACCGAAAAATCCCCACCTTCTTCTGCAGCGTCGTGGTGTTGCTGCACGTGTAGGCGCTACAGAAGAGAGGCTCGCAACACTCCTCTTGGGTCGATCCTGCGAGGACACCTTCCTCAGCCGACTGGGCTTTGGGCTTCCACTTGGTGTTGTTAGGACAAGTGAAGTCGGAGCACAGAAGGGGCTCACAGCAGTCCTTCAGATGAACTCCACGGATCTCTGCAGCCTTGTCTTTGAGCTTCCAAAGGGACTTCAACTCTTTTGGAATCTTGAACTGGTCACAGTGGTGCTCCTCGCAGCACTCCACATCGCTCCAGCCCTTCCTCGTGGTGTCCTTGCCCGTCAGCTGGTCGGTGACGGTGATGGACCTCTTGGTCATGATCGTGACGTCGGAGCAAGTCCAATCCATGCACTCTTTCTGGATGCAGCACTCCTCCTTGCTGCTTCCTTTCAGGCCCGTCGCTGGGTGCTTCTCCCACCCCGTGATGTTGTCGCAGAAATCCGAAGGGCAAAACTTGGCCGTGCAGCAAGCCTGCGGGGTGGAGCCCATGCGGGTGTCGAAGTCCTTGCGGGGTTCCCACTGGCTCGTCGGTGAGCAAGTAACCTCATCCTTGCAGAACCTGGGCTCGCAGCAAGCACTCTCTGACCACCCGAAAGTCTCATTGCCCTTGAGCTTCTGCGTGAGCGGATGAGGGCACTTGAAGCCCTTGCACACCTGGGGAGTCAGACAGATGCCGCTCATGGTGACCTCACCGTTGGTGAAGGGCTTCTCGTCTCGGTACTGGAACTCCGTGTGTTGAGCCGAAGACAAGACTCGCGCCTGTGTGCTCAGGACGCAATCCACGCAGCCGGCAGGCACCACGATGTCCAAAAAGCCTGGGTTCGTCTCGAGGAGTCTAGTAGATGTCCACATTCTAGCAGATTCTAGCAAGTAGCTTAGCTCCAGGTCCTATCAAGAGCCTTCCAATTCCGGCCTTGCAGCAAACCCAACCCCCGAACCCCAAGCCAAAAAGGCCTTCAACAAGTTTATGGTCAACTGAGACAAGTTAGGAGCCTGAACCCTGAACCTCTAAAGCCCTAAAGCCCCGAAACCCTGAACCTCAAAGCCTAAACCTCAAAACAGGGTTTAGGGTTTAGGGTACCCTAAACCCTAAACCTCAAACCAGCATGGGAGCCTTGATCCTCGCCGCCCTGGAAGCCGAAGCTGCGGCTCGTGGGCCCGTTGTTCGTGAACGTCGCCTTGAGGAGCCAGGGCTGACCGATCCTGAGCTCTTTCTCTTCTTTAGGGTTTAGGGTTTAGGGTTTGGGGTTTAGGGAAAAAGGGTTTTAGGGTTTAGGGTTTAGAAATCATAGTAACAGTATAATTTATATGGGACTTTCCGAAAATTCGGGGTACCTTATTTTGGGGTCTGTATCATCAGGATCCTATTATTCAGGGTGCTATATTAGGGTCCCCTATTTGCGGAAACCCCCTTGTTTAGAAATCATGGTAACAGTATATACTGACTGTATTACTAATAGCGACAATAGGAACAGTTATAGCAAGAATAATAGGTAGATCCTGAATAAATGAACAAATACATCAACACCTAATTAAATAGACAGGATGTGCAATTTTGTTTTGTGACGTTACAGGCTGTATGGGGTTTGGACGTTTGGATAGGTTTTTGTTAAGCAGACTACGTAGCATCTACAAGTGGCCTGTAGGGCGGTTGATGTGCGCTTGCTGTTGGGTCTGGTGCCTGGCATGCTGTCCACTGTCCTGCGTATGGACACATCATGAGCATGGTTTCGGCATTTTTCTAGTAGAACTATCATACATATACTTGCTACAATGGGATAATGCTGCTATGCATTCCCACCGCTCCATTAAACCCTAAATTTTACACCGTAATCCTTAAATCGAGTTCCTTCTTCCTTCACCAGAGCCAAGTCTCTTCCATTGCTCCTCCTTGGCCAAGGCCTCACGCAGCTTTGTAGTGTCCCAAATGGAATCCTGGGTCGTTCCAAGGGCCAGGGAAAATGACTCAAGATAAGATCATGAGATGGAGTTCAAACTCATCCCAAGGGCGCCAGAAAGTTGTGTATGTGCAGGGCTTTAGGGTTGTTGACAAGTAGAAGCCAGAAAGTTGGAACATTGTTTTTATGATCATGCCCTTAAGGTAAAGTACAAGAGATCCTAGCACTAATCCCCCCAAACCCATGTTCCAACTTTCTGGGATTCGCTGTAGGACCAGGATGGAATTCAAACTCATCCCAAACTGCCGCCTAGACTCCAGCTTGTTCTTGCCAATGATCTTGTAGCTCTTGTCAAGTCCGGAGGGGTAGCGATTCGGCTGTCCTGGGTTATTCGGGTTTTGGGGTTTAGGATAGCGAGTTTCCATCACAGGGTTCCATGATAACTTGTACACTCGACGCTTCGAGCCCTATAGATCCTCTAGCTTAAAACCAACGACGCCTGCGGAGTCCTATCACTACTACCCTTTTTTGGTCATCTTTGGTAAGGTCCCTATAAGACGGAGTCCTATCACTACTATTTTGTTGGGTCATGTTTTGTAAGGTCCCTATAACTTATAAGTCCCTACAAGAAGCACCGTGTCCTCCAGGGCAAGGGTTCTCGTCCTCCTCGGCGCGCAAGGCTTGGGCCCGGGATCGTCCGGTGCGAAGTGCGGTGCGGGCCTGGCCCACCGAGGCCAGGGCGGCAAAAGCGGCCAAAAAGGCACAGAACTTCATTGTCGGGAGTAGACTAATAAGGCAGCAGCCTTGAGCCTATGCAAAAAGCCGAGTGCATAGGAAAACGTAAGAATATGCATGCTGGACCATGCCCCAACAGTAAGTGCGGAACCTAAACTGACCAAATGTGACGTTTGATGCCTCCCTAAAACATGAAGATGCAGCAGTTTTCGAGTGAAAGCTAGAGTTGTTAGCCGGCCTGTGCAATGAAACTCCGACTACAGACCTGGAATGTGCGGTTGCCTCTAGGCCCCTAGTGGACAGAACCTCCCTACAAGCTTTGCACTGCATATGGTACCAAAGAGTGCTGCATCGAAGGGCTCTATACGTCATCCAAAAGCCTCCAGCCCATGAGCACCTCGATGAAGGAGCTGAGCCCAAAATCTGGTTGCCATACATATGTATATATATACATATATATATATATATATGTATATATATCTATTTCTAATTATTCCGTCCTGTCTCGATGAACGATAACCCCAAAACCTTTGTCAGCCTCATGCGGGCCCAGGGGAAGCAGCGAAGGGACACATTCCACTCTGAGTCTGCGGCTTCGGCATCCACGGAATGGATCTGCACGCTTCAGGTGTGACTGTCGAAACATGCATCTCAGGTGTGACGTGCTACGTTAAAGAAAACAGAGCAGGGGTATGCATCATGGGCGTTAAAGTCTAAGTGACTAGCTGAAGGGTTCGTGATCCTTGGGCTTACTATGGCCTGCACGCCCGCGGCATGCATCCGCCGGCGTCTTGTGAACCAAAGAAACCATTCAGCATGCTGTTCCAACGGAAGTAACGCAGCAAAGCCAACATAACTAGCACAAGCTGGTTCCGTGCAGTGTTGTGTGACTGTAGTACAGCGTTACAGAGACTTCCAGTCGAGTTTTACAACAGTACCGGTGCATCGCACGATTCCAAGCTCCCGGCCGCCATGCTCGCAGAGCCTGGAAGCTGGTGGCTTTAGGGCGTAACGTAGGGCCCTAAACCCTAAACCCTAAACTCTAAACCCTAAACCCTAAACCCTAACTGGGTAGCTGAATGCTGCTTAAGGAATTTACCCTCTTAAGCTCAGGGGTGGAGGCACCTCGGCCCTGGAATCCTCTTTACGAAACAGTAGTAGTAGTCGTAGTAGTAGTAGTAGTAGTAGTAGTAGTAGTAGTAGTAGTAGTTTAGGGTTTCGGGTTTAGGGTTTAGGGTTTAGGGTTTAGGGGTAGTAGTAGTAGTAGTAGTAGTAGTAGTAGTGGTAGTTTAGGGTTTCGGGTTTAGGGTTTAGGGTTTAGGGTTTAGGGGTAGTAGTAGTAGTAGTAGTAGTAGTAGTAGTAATACAACGAATCAAAATAAGACTACACATGATAATCATACTGTTGTTCATTTTAACTACTGGTAAGACTAACAATAACAACAAAAATGATAGTAATCATGATCATACTAACAAATGACAGTACTATGTTTCCCTCCCGCCTGGCTAGGACAGTACTTATTATTATCATTGTTATTATTACTATTATTAGCATTACTAAGTCATTACTACACTACTAGTATTATTATTATTAGAGTAGTAGTAGCATCATCTTTTTTTATTAATGATATCTCAATCTATGTTGTGGTTGATGCCGCACCTTCTAACAAGTATAATGTACGAACCTGTCTAAGAAACCCAAGTCGGATAACCTTCGGATCCATATATCAAGAGCCCCACAAAAAGGATCCACGGTTTCCTAATCAGGTTCCTATCTTCGTAACGGCAGCAGCTGCTAGCTTTGGAGTCTTGCCGACTTGATCTCGAAACTTAGGGCCACAACGTCAGCATCCGGCCTTGGAGTACCCGGTGGCTTGAGCCGCGCTGGCGCAGCCCAACACTACTACTTTTAAAGCGAATTCGAGCCTGTCACGTTGCAGCCAGGGGTCTCTATGCGTGCTCGTCTCTGTGTGTGTGTGTGTGTGTGTGAGCTTTGTGTGCACGCGTGTCCGTGAGTGTAGGTGTGTGGACACGGCGAATCATGCACTCAAGGTGGCGATAAGCTGGACATGGGCCAGTCTGATTGAAATCAAGGCTTCTGCTGTTTGGCTAGTTCTTGGGCTGTGAAAAGAGAGTTATTAGGTCCACCAGCTGTGGAACTTCCCACATGCCAACTTCTCTTTTCATCGCCTTCCCCGTCGGCCCAAGCCGCGCTCGCGGAAGTCATTCTCACCTGCGTTGTGCTGTCGGAAAAACTTCTTCGGCTTGACCCGTCGGATGGCCTTCTGCTGAGCGGCGGCTCGAGATAGCCAGCGCAGTTCTGCCCACCCTCTACTGGCGTGGCTTGGGCTGCTGACCCCCACAAGGCTCGCACAATGGCTGCTGGCACACTGCAGAGCGGTGATGTTAAAGTTGCTGGGGCCCATGACCAAGGGTACTGTGCCAGGGCCGCCAGCAAAGCAAGCCATGTAATCAAGGCCATGGGTACCGTCACTGAAGACCGCACAAGTCTCCCCAAACCTGCCCACAGAAAGGCAGCTGGTCCAAAAGTCTTGGATCTTGGACACATCTTGGGAATAGAGGCCCAAAAGGTCTCGAATCATCAAAGGCTTCTGGCTCACCTCAGCTTTGCGCAGGTCGAGGCCCTCGATGCCCAGACCCTGGGAGTTTTGCGTCGTGATGGCCGCGTGGTATCCATCCGAATCCACCTCGGGAGCTCTTTGTCTTTCTGGGCAAGACATGTCTGGAAGTAATTAGGTGTCAACACGGCTGTCGACAGCCCAAAGCAGAAGCGGGAAAGAACGACGGCTTCTAAATGTAAGTTCCCACATCCATCGTCTGCGTGTATGTACGTATGTCCATATATATATATATAAATAGATGTATGTACATATGTAAAGATAGAGTGAAGACATGCATATGTGAGTTAGTCTACATGTCATGCTCAATGCGATGCCACATCTGCGAGTACGTATGTATGCATGCATGCATGCATGCATGCATGCATGCATTCATGCTATCCATCTATCCATGAGCCTATCTACCTATTCCAATCCATCCGTCTATCTGCATTCTGTAAACCACAGTATTTGACCCCCGATTGATGATTCGGAGATCTCCGAGGTGCCGCCACCGCCGTCAGAGTTGCCGCCTCCCGGCTCCAGAGTCGCGTCAAGTCAGGGACTCGGAAATCCTCGGAGAGTTGCACAGTAAAAACACACACAGATTAGAATCCTTAGAACAAGGCTTCGTCTAGCATGTTGTTTTTCGAAACATCAAGTTTAAGGTATCGGGTTTAAGGAGCGAGGCACCAAAAAACACAACACACTGCACCACTGGCTTTCCCAGAATCCCACAGCCGGAGCCCCTGCGCAGAGGCCAGGAGCGCATGGTTCGACCAGGGAAGGGCTCGCAGGAGGCCCGCGCACTCCAGGGTCGCGACGGGGGCCATGGAGGGATGAGGCCTGCCGTCAGTGCTCAGTCTAGAAGTGTGCTTGGACTCTTTTGTAATCTTTTGTATGGTTTCGAATTGATGGGTTTCTGGAAGGGTTTCTATAAAGTCTACTCCCGAATAAATACTAAAGCAAAAACCCAGGCCAAGGATGGTGTAAAGGGTGGGTTGTTGATGACACACCCCTGTAATCTGTAAAAGGGGCCCATGCTAAACCCGCAAAGGCGCGGTTTGGAATTGAAGGGCCCCCTACCCTAAACCCTAAACCCTAAACCCTTCCGGCTTCTGTATCCTCAAAACTGCTCGAAACTTATGAAGGGCCCCCTCCCGGCTTCTATATACTCCACTTGCTCGAAACTCATAGGGCAGAGGCCTGCCGAGCCACCAAACCATGAGCCTTGGAATATCATAATATAATATTCTACTATATTATATTAAATCCAATTATATTAATTTATATTAAACTATATTAAGTTATATTAAATTATATCAAATTATATTAAATTATATCCCAGGCGAGTCCTTTCAGCAACGAAACCTCGGGCATTCCGCTGCGCCTCGTAGCATCGTACAGGGCGGCGCCACCTCGCCAGGCGCTGCAGAGCGCCAGGCTCTGACTTCGCCAAAAGAGACCTGTGATGCTACTTTGGGAATTTTTTCCCTCCTACTTAGCAATAGTAAGGATGATGCTACTTTGGGTGTAGGGTTTAAGGACGAAATAACCCGTAAAAGGTCCTATATCCATATACTATGAATCCCTATATGGTATATGAACCTTAAACCCTTTTAGGGTTCATTTCGTCCTTAAGGTACTTTGGGTGTAGGGTTTTGGGCTTCGGCGCTCACACTCGGACATGCCAGGCGAGATTGGTTGGGGTTTTGGGGAGGGTTTGAGGTATATGTTTCGAGAACTACAGGAGCACTGGTGGGTTGGAGGGTGTTGTGATTCCTGACTGTATTTCGGGACTTCAATGTCTGAAACGGGACCCTTGACACGGACCCTAGTCAGCAAAGATCCTGGCCATAAGCACCCCTGAAACCAGTGACAGGAGATTCACAAAATCAAACGACGAGTCTAACATCCTAATGCCCTAATACTGTTGCCTGACTCCAAATACGATACCGCGGACTATCGTAGCTTTCCCCAAGAAGCCCATTTACTTAACCGGCACGAACTCTCAGCAAAGCACGCCGGATTCCAAGAAGCCACCGACATAACCTCCGGAAGCTCGGAGACATAATATTGGAGGCCTTAATAATTAGAATAGGGTTTTGGTACCCATTATAAACTATAAGTATAATAAGGAGCCCCCCAAAATAGTAGTATTGCTAATTATTTAGGGCCCTGCATTAGAGACAAGGTGCCCTGGCAAGATCCCTCCAAAGAGTCTTTCGCCAGCTCCGGGCAAGACGCCTCAGTCCTGTGTGCGGTATCAGGAAACGAGTTTGAAAAAGCTGGCATAGGGGATTCATTAGGCCGTAAGGTTTTCGTAAAGCTGCTAAGTAACTAAACTTCAGATCTCATTACCACAACCGATCTGCACAGTCGCTATGATTTCGTACACGAATGGTAACTTCAAAAGGCTCCGCAACAAAACAACAAGTGTCTGAGTGACGTCTTCCAAGCGCACGATGCCATCCACCTCGGCCACCGCCAGAAGGCCGCTTTCTGCCTGCAAAGGAGGGACGGGTGTTTGTGGACATCTTCACGCAAATGGCCTGTGTACAGAATCCTGGTGCAACGTTCCAATGTCTCTCACTATCTCTCTCCCTCTCTCTGTGTTTATACCCCTCCCCCTCCCGTCATTCTGCCGCGTAGAAACATAGGTAGACATCGAGTTGGTCTTGCTTGTCTGTTTGTTCTTATCGATCTTTCTTTCTGCACGCTGTCGGTCTGTTGGAAAGCCAGCCGTCTCGGATACACCAACCAGGACTTGCCTTCGGGCAGAGGGCGATAAGGTCAGCTGCTCCACGGCGTGAGCGCCGAAGAGGTGGCAAACGACGGAAGGACGTTTCGGTCGCCTCGCTTGGCAAGCTTGGGACCAATTGCGTTTTGGGATCGGGGTTTCAGAGTGAGTGGTTGGGTTCACCTTCGGATTCAACATATCTCTGATTTGTGCTCCAGTTTCCATGCTTGATCAGCCCAACATGCACTCAACATATGCACTCACCCTCTAGACTTAAATCGTGAAGCGAACCTTCAACCCTAACCTCTCAGCGAAATCCTTAAGCCCCCCAAACTTTATCCACACCCCTGACAATTCCGGGCTTAAAGCCTGTGACCTTGAACCATAAACTTCCGACCTTCGGCCCTATAAACCCCACTTATCGGGGCCTTAATGTTCAGAACAGGGTTTTGGCATGGACGTTTGGTCTTGAAGCTTTGGGGACGAAATGGGCTTAGGGTGTAGGGTTGTTAGTTATATAGAATTGCTCGTTCATCTGGGACTATGAGGAGATACTGTTACTAAACTTTAAACATTACCAACTATTCCGGCTCCTTTGTTGTAACTTGGCTGGGGGCTTCGTGCCATACATAATACATAGCATACGCAAGGGATAAGACCCCAGCACATTCATCCAGGACCGTATGCCCGAAGTCCCATGATACTGTAAATGCCACGAAGGTAACGTAGTAAAAACCACCAAAATCCCTAAATCTTTTGTTGCTAAAGCCTAGACTCTAGACCCAATTGCATCAAGACTGGTGCGATCAAGTCCAGCCAGTAGCAGCCACCCATTCCATCGTAGTCTAAATCCTCCACCCGAAACCCTAAACCCTAGCCCTAAACCCTAAATCCTAGTCCTAAGCCCTAAACCCTAAACCCTCGCCCTAAACCCTGAACCCCAGTCCTAAGCCATAAACCC